ATAAAAGAAACTCTAATTATTTAAACAAATAATATCAAATTTAAATTTATATATATATACAAAAGATTTTGAATAGTTATTATTATTATTTTTTTTGTGTCTCACGGAATAATAAAAAATTAATCTAAATTTTTAAATTTAAAATACCTTGATGGATAAAAAATAAAAGAGTAGGTTAAATTGCTGTTGAAATTGTCTTTCAAAGTATTCGAGGGATAAATCATGGGTTGGTTATTTACTTGTGCTGTGTTGTGTGTGCTTACGTGAATTGTGTGTTGTGTTGAATGCATGCATGGTTAGCATATCTTGATAAAATCCCACTGATTTTGTTAAAAAAAGTTTGTCTTACATATAAATTATTTAAGGATAAAAAGGCACCAAATTAATTTTCTTTTATTTTTTATTTTTTTTGATGATTTTAATATTCTTATATGGTAAAAAATCATTTTCAAGTACAATAATGATATAAATTCATAAAATTGCAAAAATAGATGATTACTAAACTAAAAATAAGGATAAATTCATTGCACCTCTCAAAAAGAAAATCGAAAGGGTTAATTTTCTATTTAATTAATGATAATAATTGATATGTAGTGGAAAATAGTAAAGATGCATAATGTATTTCGTCCTTATTATTTAATTGATTTTGGCTGGGCATGAGTTATTGCAAATATTCATTAAATGAGACGGGTCCATTTATAGCATGTGCATGCGGCCGTGACTAATAACTACGCTGGGTTGATGTGGCAAGCAAACCAATGATCTCCGCTGAGCTTTATTTATTACTCAATCATCTTCGCACAACTACATGCCAATATTGTGACAACCATCCATCTCTTCTTTCTTGTTCTAATTTTAGATAATTACAATCAAATGTGCCCGTTCGGTATGGTTAATTACTGAAATTATAGGTAGTACCCCAAAATTTGGAGATTTGAAGGTACATCTCTCCTTCGTACTTTGAAAATATTGCTATCAATTTTTATTTTTTTATGATTTAAAAATGAAAAAAATAATTACGCTATCTCACAGTCCTGAAAAAAAAAAAAACATTGTTTATGCTTAGTTTTAAGATATTTTCGTTTCCTGTAATTTTATTCACCTTGTTTATGTAGAAGTGTGTTCTTTCTGCCTCTGCTTAGCCGCAGCACATGGGCTGGCGTTCTAGTGGCCCACTAAAATATGCAACAATCTAAAATGGCTGTGACCTCCCAAAGCCTTTTAGTTGTCCCTTCGCTAATAAGTTGCCACGCTTTGCACAAAACTTTTGATAAGGAGTGGATATATTTTCAGATACCTCCGTTTTTTTTTTTTTTGGCCCTTTCCTTTTACCGATGCAAGACAACCTGAGCTTGCATTCCCTATAACTATATTGTTGGAATCTAGTAGGGGTATTAGTTAATTCCTCGCATTACGCTACAAAGCATTACGCTACGAAGCGAGTCAGAGCAAATCATTAAAAAAAACAGGATTTATTTATTGAGAAAAATAATAAAAAATATTTAAATGTGTCTAACATATAAAAATGCAGTTATATATGAAGAAAATCATTTGTAAAAATTGTATTGTCATTTGGTTCAACACATAAAAAGCATGGATATAATCCTTTTTTTTTTTTTATTTCTCATAGCTTTCTACATATTTGAACTCTCCACAGTCAAAGTTTATGTTATCACATATGCAAATAATAATAATAATAAATAAATAATAAAATTAGTCTATGGTATTGTATAAATAGCTCGAAGTTATTTTTGCAATTAATGCAATCTATAATCATCATGTTAAACATCATATCACTTCATCTTTATTTTTTTATTTAAATTTTGAGCAAAAAAAATATTTTTAAATTATTAAAGACAATTGAAAAAATTATTATGTTATGCATCAACTTGAAGTTTTTAATAACATGCATAAGCAATATTTTTCGAGTGAAGGATGAAACTTGTCAACATGAATTTTCTATAGCATGCATCATATCTTATACAAAACATCAATTGATGACAACTTTCAATATTAACAATATTATATTACACAAACTCGGTTTATATCACTTTCAAAAGTAAGTTACATTACATATTTGAAAGGAGTAATGTTGTTGATACAATTTGATAGAGAAGAAGTTGGAGCTAGATAAAACTTATGAAACTATAAAGTAGATCTCAAAAAGCATTGCAATAAGAAAGCAAAATAAGAATTTTCATGACACAAAAAAAAAAAAAAAACCCAACTATATAGAAAAGAGTGAGAGCGACAAAAAGATAGGATACAACAGATCGAGTTCATGATATGTCCGGCTTTGAGCAAAATGCTAAAAGCAAACACTAACTACTACAATTAAAGACAATAAAATAAAAGACAAAAATACAACAAAATGCAAAATCTCTCAACAAACAACATTCATCAAGTAATGAATAATTTTACAAATAAAAGGTAGAAGAACTTAAAATAAATAAGAAGGAATATAAAAAAGAAATTACGGTAGTCAAATAAAAAGTTCCACATAACGTATGATCAAAACAACATATAGCAGTTGTAAAATATGCATTCAATAGTAAAAGAGGACACCAAACAAGTTGCTAAAACATAAAAAAAATCATCAATAGCCAAGTAAAACGTGCAAACGAACAACTAAAATTATTATAAGGAAAATCACATTAGAGGAAAAAGGCAAAAACTTTGATATTAAAAATAACACATTGTTGAAGAAAAAGAAATATAGCATTGCGGAAAGCAAAGAAACAACAAAATCCCCGGATAGTTAAAAAATTATTTAGCAAAAAAATAAAATTAAATACGGACCTTGAGCCTAAAGTTAGACCTCCAAAGTTTGATTATAAGGTCAAAACTTCAAAGTTAATCCAACAAATCTAAAAACAAACAAAAGAAAGAAACTAACCTAACAAAGAATACCAACGATGCCAACATCATGCCGGCAATTAAAAAAAAAAACATTAGTCAAGAATCGGATATCCAACAACCCCAAAATGATAAAATCTTCCTCAAAATAGTAAAGCCTTTTTATTGATTCTATGTCATCGAAGGCAACAACAAAAAAAGTGAATAAAATTGGCAAGCTACCTATAAATTCATCTTGACCATAAACCTAAAAAGAGAGAGAAAAAAGAAAAAGAGGGAAATGACGTGAAAAAAAACTCACATATTTTTGTAAATCATAACAAAACTCATTGTTGTCCAACAAATAGCCTAAACATATAAATAAAAAACATTGAAAAAAAAAGGAAGAGGACATTAAAAAAAAAAATCTCATATATATATATTTTTGTAAAATAACAACAAAACCCACTATTATTCAAGCATTTGTCAATAGTCTAAGCACATAAATAAGAACACCGAGTTAAAAAAAGATTAAAAGATTAGCAAAATTCATCATAAAGAAAAGCAAAACTAAAACTAACTATGACAATCAAAGGTAAAAAAAATTAAAAAGCATCACTTACAAAGTAGAGAAAAATAATAATTTTAATCGACCCATTAGTGAAAGAAAGTTCAAAGGAGAGAGAGATAAAATAAGCACAATCACAAGTATCAAAAGGAAAAAAAAACTTATTTGATTGTAAAAAAAAAAAAGAACAAATGTTAACGAAATCAATTGAGTGAGGACAAGAGAAAGCAAGTAATAAACTTGGATTTGCATAATTTCTAGTGAAAACATCAATTACAAAGTAGAGAAAAATAATAATTTTAATTGACCCATTAGTGAAAGAAAGTTCAAAGGAGAGAGAGATAAAATAAGCACAATCACAAGTATCAAAAGGAAAAAAAACTTATTTGATTGTAAAAAAAAAAAAATGTTGATGAAATCAATTGAAAGAGGACAGGAAAAAGCAATAATAAACTTGGATTTGCATAATTTCTAGTGAAAAAAAAATCGTGTGGTGGTCTCTCGAACAATAACAATCCCCAAGAAATAACGATGCAACAAACAAGCAACTACAAAAATGAAGAATTGATCTCGGTTGGAATTAAAACAAACCCAAGTTGAAGGAACTCAAAAAATGATGATAGCGAGGTAGCAACAAAACCTAAATAGGAAATGAAGAAAGCAAGGAAACACTCTAATCTAAAACAAACAATCTCTAGGCTCCTTATTTACAATAATTAGCCATGACAAATGGCACAAGTGGAAGAATTATAGATTGAAAGAAATAAAAATAAAACAATCCTCCAAATCACTTGACATAAAGAATTAAATGTCGTGTGAAAAGGTGTGAAAAAAAATCGCAAAAACTACTTGATGGAAGCATTAAATGTTGTGTAAAAGGAAGAGTGCAATGACTAAAAAGAGACTGATAAGTTATAAACAATAAGAATGAGGAGAGAAGGAAAATGTAACTGAACAAAAGAAAGCAATAGGAAAAGCGAAATTAGGTCCAAAGAAAAAGGGTGAAAAACAACCGACTTACCTTATAGCCAAGAGAGAGAGAGAGAGAGAGAGAGAAGTGCATAAATGGTGGAGATGCAAAATGGATGTCTCCAATAAAGCAACAACATAGGCTAAAGAAATAACAATCAAAAGTGGACGATCCGGATGAAAGAAAGGAATGAGCACAAGACAATTGAATCATAACACACGATATCTATGAGTTTTCATCTATAGTAAATGAATAATAACACCATCGGATCTTTTAGTTTTCTTTCTAATTCTAATGACTTAACACCTTAATAATATATATCTATGGCCACATTGTTGGTGTGTGTGTGTATCATGTAATATGCATATATAACATTCTAGCCATAGTCATACAAGGTTAAATAAAGCCAACCTTTGCTCTTGTATCATCATCATTCCCATTATCCGTATCAAGAAAGTACATCTAACAAATTATGGACGTTTTATGACAAGGCACACAATGTGCAAAACTACAACATTTTCATCTATAAAGTTCTCGGTGAACATATAAACAAATAGAACATAAGATGCTTACATCTTCTTCATCAATTACTTACCTAGGAACGAGTTAACGGGACATGCTAAGGTCTCAACTCATTTTGATAAAATTTCGCATTTTTGTTGCAATCGCTTGAGCCAAAGAATCCTAGATTAAATTAATAGAAAATGTAGCATTTTTTAATTGTAAAATGCAACATAGGAAACATATGTAATCATTTTATGCAAATTACCCGATGAGCTTCAAATGATGGATTGAATGAGCATCTCAAAGGCTTAACTTCCACTATTGGAATAACCGAAGGTTTGGATATCTTTCATCAATACGATAACCATAAAAATTCATTATAGGTAAAATACATGTGATTCTACATTGCTATGGAGTAAAATGGGATCCACTTGTATCAAATTCATAGATAGATTCCTTGTACACAATGAAGTAACATGGAACACTCATGCCTTTCCACATCATTATTTTAGACAAAATGTGTGGTAATGGTAACTCGACCGGTATAAAAGTAGATCACAAAGGAAGTTGAATCATAAAAAACACAAGTACCTTTCTAGCTTTGTCATCGCGTTCACTCGCAAGAGTGTGAAAAGGAATCAAACATGAAACTCCTTACGTCTAAATATTGAACCGCCAATAATCCAAGAAAAAAAAAGGCCAAACCAAGTAAATACAAATTACCTTCCTTTTCTCATATATTAGCCATCCCGAATCCGAAGCAACACCATCTTAGTACAATAAATACAAACACATCAATACCACACTATCTTGGACAACATAAAATCATAATCACTCTATCCTTAAACAGTTTCTCACCTTAGAACCATCTTGAGTAGAATCTTTTGCTTCAGAATCTTTCTTATTCTTATTCTTCTTTTTGCATTTCTTCATGTTAGAAGATGGCACCGTTTGAACAAAAGGGTTTTTTTTTACAACTCACTATCACAAAAAAGCACTTCTCCCTATGTTTCTTAATTTTTTGCTTTATAGAAAGATTTGCAAACAACAATAGCTTGGGATTAGAACATCACTAATTAAACAAAACAACAATAAAAATAGGGAAACTCTTACTAACTAAAAAGGAGCAAAGTGATTCATAAACAAAAATAGAGATAGTATTAAATGGTTTTTTTCTAAGAGAAATAGAAAAAGACATATGAGATGAGAGGAAGAAATGCTTTGTTTTTAGCCGAGAATAGTAAAAAAGATTGGATGAGACGAGAGAAAGAACGTTTATGAGAGAAGAAACTAAGATTTTCTTGTACCGATAGATCCGTGTGTGCAAAAGAGAGAAAGAGGCCAAAGGATAAAGATGGAGTATTAATCGGATTGAGATAAAATGAAATTAGATATCACAATTCAATGATTTTGATTGTTAGGGTTTTAGATGAATGGTTGAGATTAAAATAAAGAACCTAACAAAAATACCATCATAAAAGACTAAAATTACAACAATATCGATGAATAGTATTAATGAGCCACAATGGACAGTAGGGGAATAGTAAACCCCCCACTTCTTTTAGTTTTTCTTGTAATGTTAGATTTTAAGTCGTTAATATACTACATCATTAATAATTGAATTTCAAATATTTTAGTTTTATCAATTTCATAAGTAATATCCCGAACCTAAGAACAAATAAATTAATATTTATTAAATATACGTGAAAATTATCTTATGTGCTTAGAATAATTGCTAGAAGGGGTGCTAGAATATTCAATGCACTTAGGGTAATTTTTTTATGCTCGATGAATATTTTATAGGCTTTTCTCGTGCATTAATAGTACTTTTATGCAAAATAATAGCTTTAAGTATTTTAAATATGTGTGAAAATCATTGTATGAGCATAGAAAAAAATATTAGAGGGGTGTAGGAATATTCCATGCACTTAAGTGAATTTTTCCGTGCTTGGTGAATGTTTTCTCGTATGAATAATGCATTTTTATGCAAAATAATTATTTTGAGAGCTCAAATGTGTGCATAAAAAATTATGTCATTGATGAATAAATTATAATAAAAGTGCTTAGATTTATTATAAAAAAATTATTTTTCAAAAGTGTGTGGAATTAATTATATGTATGGGAATTTAACTTTATAAGGTTAAAGATCTAATTGCATAAAATTAAGAGTCCTATTGCATAGAATTAAAAGCTTTAGCCCTCAAATAAGTTTTAAAATAAATTCAAGGAGATAAAAAGATGTTAGAAAAACTTTAATAAATGACCAAAAGTAGTTAATTAAAATTAAGAGGACTAAAAGTAGGAGTATAATTGAAAAAAAATGATAAATTAAGAGACTCAAATTGACATTTTGGCCAAATATTTCCAGCCTAACCCGCCACGTAGCCCCTATAATTAATGAATGTAATAATTAAATACATAAATGGATGGCTAGAGATTTATGTGATGGAGGGCTAGGATTTAAATAAGGATGGATGGCTAAGATTAAATCAAATGAAAGGTTAGGATTAAAAGATGAATCAAGGGTAGAGATTAAACCAAATGAAGGGTGGAGTTCAAGTTAAAGCACACAAAAGTCCACCCATTTACACCTATAAATTTGACAAAAAGGGGAAAGGAAAAAGGTTGGAAAATTGGAAAAATTAAGGGAAGCTCTTGCAAAATTTTCCAAGAAAATTTCAATCCAAGTTCATCTAAACACTAAAACCATCCTTAAAACACTTAATTAAGCCTAAAATTTTAGTTGAAAGATCAAGAATATCAAGGAGGAAAAAGATGGTATTTGGTTGAATCTTGGAGGAGCAAAAAGGGAAAGCAAAACTCAACCTAACAAAGACTAATTTGGAGCTTTTAAGGTATGTTAATCTCACTTACATCACAAGGAGCTATTATTGAATGTGAATTATTGGTTTTATTCATTTAATTTAAGTTTAATTGTATGAATTTAGTGAATTAGCATTAAGATTCTTGATTAGGTCAAATTGGGAAAAAAGGATTAGAAGGTGAAATTTATGCAATTGGAGTTAAAATATATTAATTGGGCATGAAAACAAGTAGGAGAAACAAAAATTTCCTAACCTAACTCTAGTAGGGCCTAAATAGTACAATTTAGGGTTTTTTTTTTTGTGCTTTTGTTCAATTGATATTTCATGGCTTGAAAACAGAGTTATTATGATGCAATTAGATGATTTAATCATGACCCCAAGAGTGGGCTATGATCGGTATGAGAATCGAGAGAATCATGAGGTCTATCTCGACTCAAGTAAGCCTTGGATACTAATCTAAAATCCTCAAATCATTGTCATATCAAATATCAGTTCATTCCATAATATTTTCAACTAACATTCATTACTTTAAATTATGACACAAATCATAAATCAATGTTATCCTTACATTTCTCAATCAATATTAATAATCAATTTCTAATACGATACCCACAGACTATAACTATAAAGCTTCTAAGAGTATAACAAATGAAAGCATAGGTTCTAAGAAATTTTATAATGAAATAAGTCGCATGATCAATGTGCCGACTTTAACAAGTACCCAAAAAGAAGCGAAGAAGCAATCCATGAATATCCTATAAGACTAAAATAATAAGGGGTGAGCAATCAATAGCTCGGTGAGTAAACATTATAACACATTTGAAGAAAGGAAAATGGACCAAGGATGATACTTTCAAATCCATATTAAAATACAATGCTCGGTTCTCCGAAAAAATGCATATTATAAAACCGAATCGCATATCAAAATTTAAATGATTCCAAACCATTCCTTATCAAATCGTCCAAACATTTATACATACGTATACCATAATAATATGAAATCACATATATGTGTTTTTACACGCCCATGGGGTAAATAGCGTATCATTAGATATGGACACCCAAATGTCACGCCTCCTATGATTAGGTTTCATATGTTGGCCGATGTATGGGCTAACACTATACTTCTCTTGTTAGCTAGAATCCCATATCATTGAGCTCAAAGGCTACACCTCCCGTAGCTAGGTTCTCTAAGGTCTCAAAAATATTTTCAAAAACCAAACATACTTATATATTTTTTTCTCAAACCAAGTATTTCAAATACCATACATGCATTTTTATAAATTATGTGGATAATCAAAATAACAATTATAGCATATCTATGTTCGAATTTGAAAACGCTTATCAAATCCAATAAAACATTTGTTCAAACAAATATCTAAACCCTTTCCAATTCATATCAATCATTTTGATACGAAATCATTTGAAAATTTATAAAGTTCATTCCCATCTAAATTCTAACAGAATGCTTTTAAATTATTCTTAAATCAATGATGCATGATGGATACAATCAAAGGAATTTAAAATATCGTGTACTACATAATATCCACTTACAATACAATTCGAAGAACCAAACAAAATTAAGGTTGTGATAGAGTCATCCAATCTAAAGAATCTAGCAATATATGATGAACAACCATCAATATCATATACCAAAGAATAATTCAAAAAAATTTAAATTATTCTAGAATTGAGAATACAAGATTATTAATAGAAACAAAATTGATCGAAAGAATTTGAACCAATAACCTTAATTAGACTTTATGATCTCTCCAACAATTCTAAATAATTGCTTCACTAAATCACATCATTAATTCTTAATTCAACTATCAATTATAAATTTCTAGCTCGAACCTTTAATCAATTAATTCTTCAACAATCAACTTTCAATTAAATGATTAATTTTATCCTAATCCATTTAAGGCTCATTTTATTAACCTTTAATTGCATTTATATAGCTTAATTCCTTATTTCCCCAAATTCTTTTCAATTCAAACTAAAATTTTAGATTTTTCACTATGTATTATCTTCAACCTCTCAATTTCTTAAATTCACTTAATTCTATTTTAAATTAACTTTATAAAATACTTATCCAAGATAATTAAACATCATTCTAACACCTAGAATTGCTTAATCAAACTTTTCACCAAATGGGTCTAAAAACCCTAACCTTAATCTAATTAATTCCTCATTCAAATAACACTCAATGCAATTCGACTTCTATTTCATTACAAATTATATATAAAAATTCTAATTTAAAGATTAATTGATAAAAAATCTCACCTTTACACTTTGTCCTTCAACTCTTAAGTTCTTCTTAGTTTTTTAAGCTTCCCAAGCTCTAATCTAGCTAAGCTTCACTTGAATCTTCTTATTAATGGTCTTCCTAAGCTAATTTAACGATGACTTAGCTTAGAAATTGAATAGAGAATTAGGAGAAATTTTGGGAGAAGACTCGCATGAGAGAGGGAGAGGAGAATAAGAGAGAAAATTCTAGAAAAGAAAGTAGCTACTGCCTCTCTTATACATGCCTTTTTTTTTTTTTAGGTTATTTCATTCTCTCCCTTAAGAAAATTCATCCTTGAATTTACTTTGACCATAACTTAGTTAGCGAACAAATGAGGATACTTCCTCTTCATTTCCTCTTCGACCTCCCAAATGGTTTCTTCGATTAAATGATTCCTTCAAATAACCTTAACGGACACAATCTCCTTGTTTCATAATTTCTTAACTTGATGGTCTCTACTACTACCAGTTGCTCCTCATATGAGAAGTCGGGATTTATTTTTATCAATTGCAGCTTATAAGACATGAAATGGGTCAAATACATTTCCTTAGTATAGAAATATGGAATACTTGGATGCACAATCGAAAATTATGGCAAGCAATGCCAACTTGTAAGCCACTACTCTAATTCGACCAATAATTTCAAATGGTCCAATATATCTTAAGCTCAACTTTTTCTTCTTACCAAATCGCAATACTTCTTTCATTGGAGAAACTTTAAGAAACATAAAATCACCAATTTGCAACTCTACATGTCTCTTTAGGATCCGCATAACTCTTTTGTCTATTATGTGTAATCCTTGAGCATTCTTGGATCAACTT